ATATATATATATATCAATTCTTTTTTATCATTTTATCGGTTTTCAATTTCTGTTTTTACTAAACTGCATTTTATTTTCAATCAAGAGAAGAATACAAATGTTTTAAATTATACTATAAATATAAATATATATTAGGTACATAAATAATAATAATAATAATAATAATAATAATTACAGTAATATAATGTATGACTCTTGACCACCTAATTGAACTCGTATATTTAGGCTGTAAACGCATTACTTATTGTATTGTATACAACTCTTAAAAGAAACTATAATTGAAAACGATTGTCCCTCTTGATCAAAAATTGATGAAATTGTCAAGTCGTTTATATACATTTGAAAACAACCTCTACATATTCTCTTTATACATATTAACAATTGGAAATGATTTAAATACTAATACGTTGAACTGAAAAACTAGCTAATTACAAAAAAATATTGTTACAAAAAAAAAAAAAAAAAAAATTAATAAATAAATGAAATCATTGAGAAGATAATATCTTTAGGAAAATTGCTCCCTTGAATTTAAGTTTATTAAAATCTCAACGTACAATAAAATAAATTGAAATAATAAAATCTCTATTCAACTGCAATCCCCACGTGTTCTTAATTCGATAAGGCGGCAAATGTTGACTCTATTCAAAACCTTCAGCAATATATATATATATATATATATATGTATATATATATAGATGACAACAAGATGTGCCAAAGTTATCAGCCAATGAGGAGCAATATTATCGCGGTTAATATGAACTGCATCTAAACCGTATACAATTAAAGCGACAATTATATCGCACAAAGATCAACCGTTCAAAAATGAATGTAAATAAAAAAAAGAAAAAAAAAAAATGTCCCCTTTTTTTTTTGGTGGCTGTCTCTCTGTCCTTTTTTTATTGTTTCTGCATTTTGTCCACCTATCATTTGATCATCAAACCACATTCATATATAACTTCAGTGTATTTTATAAAATTGTTTACATATACTAATAGTCTATCTTAACTGTTTTCCGTCTCCTCACACACAAACGCTTAATGTATCGCTTTAAATCTACATACGTATATCATAAATTCTATACATAAATACATGGTAAATTTGCTTTATCCATAATTGTTTTTATCATCTCTCTAATGTGAAAAGGGAAAAGACAAAAAACAATTATTCGCATTAAACAGACTAATTGGAGAAAATTTGCATAAAAGATTCTTAAAGAAACATTTTATAATACATTTTTATGCTGCACTTTTCCAAAGAAATGTTTATAAAATTTCTTATAGACAGAAAGCATTTTGCTTTTAAAGAGAAACAATTTAAAAATTTAATTAGCGAAAATTAATTGCATAGTAAAGTGATGTCGATTAATTTCCTACTAAATAGTACGTGATTTAAGTCTACGCTATATAACCTTGACCCTATGGGAAAGGAAAGGAAAATTTCCGTAAAACGATTTAATCGATATTTAAATTCATAAACGGGTTAATGGCATGCAGTTACTCTCGAAAGCAAATAACTTTTGAGTTCCGCTTACGCGGTCTAACTGTTTACTGAAAAAATACTTCTTTTAACTGTCACTTAGTCAAACCAAATTAATTTCCCCATTGAAAAATGTCAGCTTTTGAAAAAGCATTTTTTGGAAACTTTTACCGAACCTTACTATATGTTAAGTCTGATTTACGGAACAGAACTAAAGAGCAAATTTTCATAATGCTTTAAACGCATATGAATGAGGGTCGGACAAACATTCATTGATATGACTGTAGTA